AGCAGCTTCTGGGCTCTGTTCACAAACAGCACCCCTACAGCACTACTGCTACCAAAACCTTGCCATGTAGCCTGAATACACCTTTTTAATATGCCACATATTGCCTTCTGCAATATACTAAGCGCTATGTGATCACAGTGTATACTGTATTGGTCTGGAATGGACATGCCCTCTGGAACCATATTGTTTTCTGGTTCCACACACTTAAGATTTTTATGCAGAGAAACCACTTTATATTAGCCAATAGTTTAACAAATTTCTATGTTCCATGTGATCTGTAAGACTAATTTGATTTTAAATTATGGTGTATAATGATCTAGAGCTTTTCAAACTGATGCATTACAAAATCTAGAACACAGTCTTCTTTCATCTCATCAACAGCTCTTCAGCTTTTGAAATGCTTTCAAAGATTTCGAAATACAAGGCAGTGTTCTGTATCACACTGAGCATCCCTGTTATGTTAAATTATAGAGTCATATTCTGATACGAAAATCCAGCTGTGTGCTTTCTTGTTTGAGAAGATTATCTATTTATTTTGATCCTTTTTGTATTCCAACTTCTTTGTCAACTGCTCATTCTAGCAGCAGCAGTTCTTCTTTTCCTTTGTTTGTAACACGGAAGTATGATTCATGTTTAGGAACTCCTGCATTATTTTAATGCATTTAATTATATCACATGTGCATCTCTGCATTTATATTTTATTTCAACAACTTTCAAGCTCCTTATCCAAGCCCCAAAGAATAGTTGTCATAATATTTGTCTTCCTGTGATTCTAGTCTCAACATCCAAAGGGACAAAAGTACATCCTAATAATATATTATAATTGGTCCCTTTGCACAATTAATAAGTCAAGTCTTATCAATCAGAGACTTTCTGTTTGTGTAACAAGTGCTGCAGATACTATGCAGAGAAAAAACCTTTACTGAGGGAGAGGCTAACGCTAAGTAAGAAGAATGGCTTTTAATTTGAGATTTTTCCTCATGACTTTTGAGACAGATCCCATTCATAGAACTGTTTTTGACTACAGAGAATTAGGTGATTACATGAGCCATCAGTTGTTGTACAAAAAGCAAACAACTATAAGGACTGATCAGAAGCAAAGTACTTTTTGGTCGAATCTTTGCCTATGTTGACAGCTGCTTTGCATGGTAAGTAGTCAGTGAAAGTGGCAGTCATGAATATCTTGGACAACTTCTCACTACCACAGATCCAGGATGACTGCTTCTAAGCCCTTTCTTTGGTACACTGGGGCCTTAAGGTCACAGTTGCAACAGTGCAGCAGTGACTCCAGCATTTCTTGAAAAAATACCTTCTGAAGAAGGCCACTGCAATTGGATGTAATATACAGCCATCTTGAGGTGTTGAGATGGACAAGTTAAGTAAGCAGATGTATAAAGGAGAGGTGGGCAGCTTTATTATTCCCTATGCCACCTGCAATGCAGCATGAGAAGAGCTAAGGTGCTGCTCAGCTGGGCAAAGAAAGTGGCAAAGTGTTGGTGCTGCCCTGCAGGAGGGGCAGTAGGGGCTTGTTCAAGGGACTTTCCCCTCCCTCCCTTCACACCACTCAGTTTGTATGGGGAGGAAGGTGTTTATCCATGACAAATAAAGACATGATGCTTCCCTTCCAGCCCACTTCCAGGATAACACATTTAAGAGCCAGCTAAGAACTCATTTGTTCTCTGCTGCTAAACAGCTGGCTGTCAGATGCAGAAACTGACCTTTATCAGACACCCCCTGAGAAACCTCCCCATAAAGGTAATAACTAAATAAGTCAAGTGAGGTTTGGAACATCTGTATAAATTAGGTGAGCAGAATCCTCCAGGATGATTGAAAAAAATGGTAGCAATGCAACCGTCTCTTTTACTTCTGTCCTTGAAGTTTCATCAGATGACATGTTTCTGAAAGTGCTGAAGGTTTCCCAGTTTTGAGTAGACATTCTATTATGGGACAGCAAGTGGGTACTGGATGATTGCGTATCTAAGGGTTAAATATATGAGGACAGCTTTTGAGAAGGTGTGAACATAAGCAAAACTAAGAGCATTGTACCAAAACCAACAAGTTATATTTGAATTTTATGTTAGGGTTTCTGCCCTTTTCATTACCAAGGACATTAAGCAGGACTGACACTTAAGAGCTCTTATCCTGCTGTTTTGTTCTGGAATTCACGAACTTTCTTTGGAGCATACTAGTAATTATCTCAACAGCTATTTGTTCATATGTCAGACCAGTAAATGAATGACACATCACTTTCAGTTGACTGAATGTAGTGAAAAAAGGAAACATCTTCTAAATGGTGGTATATAAAATTAAATAAATAAAATAATAATAATAGAAAAGTGTCATGAATGCTTCCCTTAGAAGCTCATAAAATTGGTAAAGATATTATAAAGATATTGACCAGTACTGGCCGCAAGACAGATCCCTGAGGGACACTGGCCTCCACCCGTAGACTGGAACTCTTTGGCTACGGCCATCCAGCCAATTCCTTATCCACTGAATAGTCCATCCTTCAAATCTATCTCTCTCCAATTTCAAGATCAGGATGTCATGTGGGACTGTGTCAAAAATCTTAAAGAAGGGCCAGGTAGATGACATCCCGTTTCTACTGATGCTGTCACTCCATCATAGAAGGTCACCAGACTGGTCAGGCAGAATTTGTCCTTAGTGAAGCCATGCTGGCTGTCTTGGATCACCTCCTTGTCTTGTACATGCCTCAACATTGCTTCCAGGAGGATCTGTTCCATGATATTCTCAGGCTCACTGGTCTGTAGTTCCCTGGTTCCTCCTTTCTACCCTTTTTTAAAAATGGGAGTGATGTTTCCATTTTTTCAGTCAGCAGGGACTTCACCTGACTGCCAGGACTTTTCAAATGTGATGGAGAGGTTTGGCAACTCCATCAGCCAGTTCCCTCAGGGCCCTGGGATGCATGTCATTAGGCCCCATAGACTTGTTAGCTGTTCAGTTTCATCAGGTGGTCTCAAACCTGCTCTTCACTTACAGTGGGAGGGACTTTGCTCCCCCCACCCTTGCCTATTGTCTATTCTTGGACTCAAGAGACATGGGAAGCCTGACTGCCAGCAAAGACTGGGGCAAAGAAGTTGTTGAGTACTTCAGCCTTCTCCATGTCTGTTGTCACCAGTTCTTTCTTCTTGTTTATCAGAGGGGGCACTTTATTTGTGGGCACTTCTCTCCTTGGCCTTTCTTTACTGACCAATGCACCTATACAATCTCTTCTTGTTATTCTCTGCATTCCTTGCCAAGCTCAGGTCCATTGGTGCCTTGGCTTTCCTGATCCCATCCCTACATATCTGGACAGCATCTCTGTACTATTCCCAGGCCACATGTCCCTGCTTCCACTGCCTGTGCATTTTCTTCTTGTGCCTCAGTTTGACCTGCAGGTTCTTGCTCATCCATGCGTTTCTTGCCTTCGCTGCATGGTTTCCTACACACAGGGATGGAGACCTTTTGCACTTTAAGAAAAGTTTCCTTAAGGAGCTGCCATCTCTAACCAGTTCCTCCTTCCCTAAGGACCGTGTCCCAGGGGGTCTCATCCACTAAGTCTTTAAACAGCTGAAATATTACTCTTCAGAAGTTCAGGCTCCTTTCTTTCCTCATCACCAGACCCATATTCCTCAAGATCACAAACTCAACCAGGGCATGGTCACTGCAGCCCAGACTGCCTCCAGTCTTAACCTCTTGAATAAGTTCATCTACATTGGTGGTTCATTGACATCTGGGTGGTTGAAGTCCCCCATCAGGATGACAGCCTAAGAGCACAGTGCTTCTTCTAGCTGAAGGAGGGAGGCCTTCTCAACCAGCTTCCCTTGATCAGGCAGCCTGTAGTACACCCCAAACACAAGGTGTCCTTTATTGAAGGACATTGAAGGATTTCATACTTGATTTGTATATTAATATAATTGTAATAATTATTATTGCTATTAGTATTATTATCATCATTTATGGGATGCTTGTGTAATGACTGAATATGGAATCCACCTTGGAATCAATCATTCCTGATGGCATAGCACAACCTTTATCATATAGGTGTTGAGGACAAGTTAGACAGACAACATGAAGAAACATGAAAGCATCCTAGGTGACATAGAAATGGGCAGAAATTGAACCTACCACATCCCAGTCCAATATGTTAGAAATTTAATTACCAAACATTTAATAATCAGTTCTCCACATTTAGAGCAACTGTGGGCTAAATATCTGGAAAAATTATGTTTCAAATTTAGATTACTAATGTAACAAAACATCTGCATATCAGCAGTAACTTTTTACTTTGTTTTTCAAGGACAAACAAAGCAGGGTGATTTTAATTCTATAATACAAGCTGTATCATTAAACAGCACTGATCATTCAATTAAGACAGATGCAGACTTTTCCAGTGCATTAGAGAGTTAATTTGATCACACAAATAGATAAGCTACATACTTGCAGGAGCTAATAATGCTTTTCCTAAAATATTTATGGAGTTAAATTATTCCATAAATTGTACTGTAGGTCTTTGAGATTATTTCATTTTAATATTAATATGGATAAACTATGCCAGAGATGCTAAAGATGTTGAACTTCAAACATGTTTCTTGATCATTCTGATTTATATAAGTGCTTTTTGGTTTATGGCATGTTCAGTAAAAGATAAAAGGAAAAGCTTCTTGATGTATCTTAGGGTGATAGGTGAACAAAGTGAAGACCTATATAGAAATAGGTCACAAACTATCACTTGCATATAATAAATATTTTAATTCAGGTTGCTGTAAAATGCTGTGCACGGTAACTTTGCACAGAAGGGGCTCAGTATTAAAATGGCTTTCGAACAGGAAAAATAAAAATGACTTTTTTGTACAGTTTTCTTTGAAAAAAGTGTCTATCACTTTAAATCAAAATGAATTCATTTCTTACAAATCATATAGTGGATGTAAAACCATTCCTCTAACATGTGATCATCCCACACATACTTTAGTTTGTCATTCTTCTCTTTCTTTTTGCAGGTGTTGTTAAAAAAATGCAAACCCCTCCACTTGCCAAGATGCATGTGTACTTAGCTATTTACAGCTTTAAATGAGAAAATAAGCCTTCTTAGAATTCTGAAAATGTTGAATTTGTTTTTCCCAGCTGGAGAGTGGGGTTTGCTTCATTTTACAAATATGTCTATGTCAGAATGTTCTTCAGCGTTTTGCCAGGAATCTGTGCTGCATGCTACGGAGTTCAATGGAAGGAAAGAGGATTGACTGACTCTCCCTTTGGCAACTGCTGCATCCACCTGATGATTGAAATAGACATGGTGATTCTAGGACATGATTATTCCTGTGGAGAGAAAAGAAGAACAGATGATTAAACAGTGAATCCTAAGATTTCTCCATTCCTCTTTTTTTTTTGTATATTCCTAACAGTTGCACACAAAAGGTGACCTTCCTTCTGAAAGTTTTCTGCATCATATGCCTAGGGCTGCTATTTGGATTCATATGAGTTCAGATGACCATCATGCACAGAGAAAATGACAATTTGTTCCATAATTTCAGTATTGGGGATTTCAGTTTTCTGTTTAGATTGTTATTTTTTTTTCTCCAGTAAAAATGGAATACAGAAAACCAGGACATATTAAATAAATGGAATTTCTTTCAAAGTGACCACCTTTATTCCTATTGCTTCCCTGTATGTATGCAAACATGATAATAGGGAATCATCACCAATGAAAAAAAAAAAAGAAAAAAAAAAAAAAGAGCATAGTTACAATTACTTTTCCCATCATCACTTACTAGCCTTCTTTATCCCACTCTATGGCCACACATATTTGCATTAATTTGCTTACCATTTTTGCAAAGATTACTTTACATTAGTCCACTGTCCACTGGTATATGGGACAGTATTTACTCTTGAGATCTGACATAATCTAAAGAGGTCTATATATTCGTACCTTTGCTGATATGAAATAAATACATTAATATAGGAAGCTGTGATTTAATCTCTTTGATTAAAGCCATTTTGGTATAATCTTCTATAGGTGTTTGTTGCAGATTTTCCGTAGAGTATTTTAAAATTCTTAAGCTATATTACTGTGAAATACTTCATGCGTCTTTTAAGAGCTTTTAAATAATGACATACTAATTTAGTGGGCTCACCTTTATTTTACCAGTAGAATTTTAATAACACTGTAACATCATTAATAATAAACAAAATATTTCAATAACATTTCATAAAATTATTATCTTTTTCACTTTAAAAAGTTTAGATAATCTTCAACAACAATGATGGCAGTTTAACAAATAAAAACATATCTAGACATAATTACATACACAGCTAGTAGGTCCTGTCATTTTATTATTATTATTTTTTTTTTTTTTACTTCTGCTAATACAGCTTTTCCTTTCAGTTCTCCAGTGGTTCCATCTCCACTGGGTCTCTTTATGAGGCTGGAGACAACAGAGGTTGTCCATTGTGGTGATGCAAGAACCCAAGACAAAGTGCTATGTCCACCAGATGTAGGAGGCTCTTGCCACTGAAGAGTTGCGCGTGGGGTGGGCAATGAATTTTCTGCCAGGATAATAACAATTAGCTTTTCATACTTCTGAGATCATGGACGTGACATGCTTTACCAGCAGTGCCACATTACTTCTAACCAATGGAAGTCTTTGTGTGTTCCTGGAACTTTAAAAACAAACCTCATATCTATCTTATGGTCTTTCTCTACATTATGACCAACTTGTAAAATAATATATCCTATACGTATTTAGTCATCAGAATTGCCATTAACCTATTTAAGACCCCCTTAAGCTTGTTAAATCCTAAGCACTAAATTTGTCAAATTTATTATCACCTGATTTCTCTCTGGGTGGAATTATGGGACCACTGCCAAATGGGGAGGTTTCCTCTTCAGTAACAGCAGCAGCAGAAGCAGTAAAAGCAGCAGCAATGGCAGCAGCAGCTCCTCCCTCCTTCCCTCCCTCACTCCTGTGGTGTAGTTCTGCCCCTTTTTAGGCTGTACTCAGGATCATCACCAAAAAGATTGATTGTGCTAACCCAGCAGAAAACTATCTAAAACTGCCTCATGGAGAGACCTGATGTATGTTACAGATAATGCAAGGTAAACAGAGACAGCATGCAGTAGGGAACAGTGACAAAGTGTTAGATTGGCTCAAGCTGTCTTGTGTAATTTTGTTTTTGAAAGTGAAGTGACACAGCTTTTATAGCTTGGGTATGGAAAGTAGTGTTAGTACTTTTTTTTTTTTTTTTTTTTTTTTTTTAAACTGTGTTAGTGCTAGTACCTCTCATCCACTCAGGAGGCATCCATTCATAGATTGTACAATGTGGTTGAAAATAACTACTGCAACATTAATAAGGTTTTTCTTTGTTTGTTTCAAGCAGTTTACAACTCCCATTATCACTTAACCTAATTTGCCAAAGCTTTGAGATAGATGTGTCTAGTTCTGTCCACACTTCACTACAAAATGAATTACTGAAGATCAAAGGATTGCTAAATATTTTTTTGAAAATGTAGTAGAAAATTAGGCAGACAATTTAACTTTAAAAAAAAAAAAGATCAGCCATTTATGAGGAGTAATAATGGGTATTACTGAGCTTTTGCCTGCTCAACAAATCCTTGCTTCCAGGAAATCAATGACTTTTTAAGCTCCAGCAAACTGTTCCCTTTCATTCCCATGAAGCTCTTCATGTCCCCTTCAAGGCCCTGGTGGTATAAGCATCAGGATGCTTATACCTCTTGCTTGCTTTACCATTTACTCTCTGAAATCTTCTCTCTGTGGACATCTCTCTCTGGGATGTCTTGTCACCACTTTAGAAACACATAAAAATAATGAGATGTAGCTGCGAACAAAATTAAACTCCCAAACACTGTCCATCACATGCACATTGAAATTGTTTGAACTGTATGCATAATTGTCATTTGTTACTGATGCTCATCACTGTGTGAACTTAGAAGCTGTACGTGTAAAAAACTAATTTCTAGGGACATATTTTTATGTCCCTGCTGAACTGAGGAAATTAAAAATTTATTCTGGAGCAAAAAGAAACCCTTTAACTTCAAAATAAAGGCATAAAATCTTTCTTAAGAAGAAATTTCTTTTTTCTTCCTTCTTTCCCCATTTTACTTTAAAATAACTTTATTTTCTGTAACTTATAAATGTATTGTGGATGATTCTATACACTTTTTGAAGGAGAAAATAAAAAATTCATGAGAAAAAAAAGCATACTAAGTTTTAGTAATGAATATGGCAAAGACATTCGCAAAAAGAAACATATAAATCTAGACTTAGACTAAATATTGACTTATATTTGCAAAATAAGCCCATGTACATTTACACATGGGTATTACAGCAAGCACCATTTAACCTCAGAATCAAAAGTCACTGAATGACAATTGAAAAAATAAGTAAAGAAAACAAGCATAACTGAATAAAACTCTAACAAAAGATTTATTTTATCATCAGGAAGAAAAAAAAAAAAAAAAAGGAAGAAGAAGAAGAAAAAAGCAACAAAAAGCAGGAAAAACAAACAGTCTACCTTCCCCTTTATTTTACCTGTTGTGACAAAAGTTACTTGGTCTTTTAAAGGAAGATCTCTACAAGAATTATTGCTAAGAAGTTATGGCTTAGTTATCTTAATTTTATCTGAGATCGCTGACTTTAATCAAGTTAGTTTCATGAAAGAGTGTATAATTTCTTTGCTTCCTGCTGGTCTGCTGAACCTTTATCATCTTTTTATATGTTAAAAATCAGCTGGAATCCCTTTCTGTGGCTATACTGCTTGATGCTGGGAAGGATTTTGAGAAAATAGAATAATGTTATTTGCATAGAATCTTTGAAACATTTTTTTTTTGTAGGGAACAGGCTATCGATTGTGTCAGCATCCCTCACACAGCACACAAAGATTCAGCATGGAACAACAACTCATTCTACAAAGAAACACAAGACATGATTGCCCTGAATCGATCTTATTAGCCCTAAAAGCATTGCAGCGCTTTCCTCAACTGATCTGACATAGAATTCACCCTAATTGATTTCTAACATTATAAATATATGTTGCTGCCATTTTATTTTATCCTGTTGCAGACAAGAACCTCATTTAATATATTCATCTTTGCAACTAAATACCTACATTAAAGGTTAATTGGGAGAAAAATGTCTATGCTACGCTTCAGATCCCCATCTTACTATAGCCTATAGAGAATGTTTTTTAGATTGTACATTATCATTGCTGAAAGATCTGTGTGGAGTTATCTTAAAGTAACACATGAAATCTGTCTACATTGTCTCCTATTGTATTAAATTGCAAACCTATTTAAAGCTAAGTGTTTAAGAGTGAAGGGATGATCTTGTGAATGTTATTTATTTATTCGTTTATTTTAATTTAATGTGCTTTAATGAATTGTTGCATTCAAGTGATGGAAACAAACATTCCTGTATAATGACCACTGGTGTTGTTTGTAATATAAGTATTATTACCTATTAAACTTACAGATCAAATTCTGCTCTCAGCTAAATTGTAGTAAGCTCATAACAACTCATTAGTTTCTCAGGATGAATAAGCAATGCCTTTCAGCAAATGCATGTCTTCCTTCTTTGAATGAGATCCTAAATCTGATAGTCAAAATCAACCCTTATGCTAGCTGGATGACCTCTAGCTTACACCACAATGAATTCATCCATTTCATCTCACTTTTGTAGACTGTCCTTGGGAACTCTTTCATAATATACAAGCTACTATAACTACTTCTATTGACATTTCTATTAAATTCTACATGCTAGATATCCTTACTCCACTGTGATTCTGGAGGAAATGTGCTGAAGTCAATGGTGATACATGAGTTCAAGTGGTTGTACAAAGAGAAATGCATCCTGTGAGTAAGATCTGACGAGGATGAATCCACTGTCTTCATTTAAATTGCAGCTCAAATCTGTACCATTCCCTGAAATTTCCGGAGGTGGAAGAATGGTGCAGTAACTCACTATCATCCTGTCAGGTACATCTGTGTGGCTTTTATTAGGTCTGCAATTTAGGCTCAGTATAAAAAGGGCCAATATCCTGATTTATCACAGTTTTATGACAGTAGTGTTCTCTCTGTGCTGAAGAATCTGGAAAAATGGTTTCCCGGGAGTCCAGCTGCTGAATGAGGCAGATATGTTTCTATTGGGATTTCAGGGACAAATCTTTTAGGACATTAGACCTTTCCCCATGCTAAGGAATAAATCTCAAGTCTTTGCAAGATTCTTATTTTCAATTTCCACAATGCCATTTCGGTGCAGTTTCAGACTAATGATGTAACAGGAGATGAGCATAATGCCCCCATTTCATGTGGCTTGAAAAAGCATGTAGAGAAGGGAAGGTTTTACTTGGGATATGTAATTCCAAATATGCAAGTATTTGTGCATCATCAGGAGGCCAAGTCATTGGCTCCATCTAGGCAGTCCTGCAGAGGAGGGTACTGGTAGGGGAGAGCTAGAGGAAGCAAGGTGAAGTGGGGAAGCCAGTGGAATGAATACCTGACTTGGCAGAGTTGGGAAGCTATGCTGCAGTGACTATCTATTGCTTTGGAGACTCCAACAAGGATCAGAGCACAGTCAAGATCAATGGGGACATGGTGGGGCACAGCAAAGCTGCAACACAGCTGCAG